CGTGATGCCATGGCACTCTACCCAGGGGGACAGCTTGAGGCTCTGTCTCAAAAAAAAAAAAAAATTAAGACAAAAAGAACTTCAGATAATCATTAAATGTTAAGCCCTGAGTAGGTATTTGATGACATTAAGGAATTTAACCCCTAACGATCTAAAGATATTATTACTAAGTATTTTACCTTGGGTAATGGTATTGAATTTCAAGTCCTTATCTTTTACATAATGAACTATTTATGGATGAATTGGTATTTGTAAAATTTGTTTCGAAATAGTAAGAACTACATATGTAAAAATCATTGAGCTATACACTTAATATTAATGTACTTTCACCTCAATAAAAAAGAAAGAAAGAAAAAATCTGGAAGAATGAAGTTTGTGGGTAGTCTAGATGAGGAGTTGGCAAACTTTTACTATATAAGGGCATATAGTAAATGTTTTAGACTATATGGGGTCTGTGGTCTCTGCAACTACTCAGTTCTGCCATTGCAGGTTGAAAAAGCCATAGACAATATAGAAACTAATGGTACTCATTGGTTGTGTTCCAATAAAATGTTTTTTTTTTTTTTTTTTAAGAGACAGAGTCTCACTTTGTTGCCCTTGGTAGAGTGCCACAGTGTCACAGCTCACAGCAACCTCCTGCTCTTCAGCTTAGGCGATTCTCTAGCCTCAGCCTCCAGAGTAGCTGAGACTACAGGCGCCCGCCACAATGCCCCGCTAATTTTTTGTTGTTGTTGCAGTTTGATCGGGGCCAGGTTCAAATCTGCCACCCTTGGTATATGGGGCCCCTGCCCTACTCACTGAGCCACAGGAGCCACCCCAAATGCCATTTTTGGACACTAAAGTTTGCATTTTATATAATTTTCTTCTGTCACAAAATATTATTCTTCTTTTGATTTTTTCCAACAATTAGAAAATGTAAAAACCATTCTTAGCTCATGGATATATTTAAAAAATCATCAGGCCTAGCTACTTGGGAGGCTGAGGCAAGAGACTCACTTATGCCCAAGAGTATGAAGTTGCTGTGAGCTGTGACATCAAGGCACTCTACCTAGGGCGACAGCTTG